CAAACCTGTTGTGTACATGCTATGTTAGCTGCAACACTGCAGATAATCTGCAGTTGTGTGTAACACTATATATTTACCACCATCTGGGTGCTAATTAGTATAAAGGTCCATAAATTACAGCTGTTTAGGATGGAAGAAACTAATAGTTTGCCTAAAATCTACTGGTTATATAGACAAGATCAGGATAGATGAGTAGGATAGAATAACATCAACAACTGCTCACCAGGACTATACAGGATAAGAGTCTATCGTCTAGAGCTCATCAGGACCATTGAGGATAATGTGGTCTCATCTACAGCTCATCAGGACCATTGAGGATAATGTGGTCTCATCTACAGCTCACCAGGACCATTGAGGATAATGTGGTCTCATCAGGACCATTGAGGATAATGTGGTCTCATCTACAGCTCATCAGGACCATTGAGGATAATGTGGTCTCATCTACAGCTCATCAGGACCATTGAGGATAATGTGGTCTCATCTAGAGCTCATCAGGACCATTGAGGATAATGTGGTCTCATCTAGAGCTCACCAGGACCATTGAGGATAATGTGGTCTCATCTACAGCTCACCAGGACCATTTAGGATAATGTGGTCTCATCTACAGCTCATCAGGACCATTGAGGATAATGTGGTCTCATTTACAGCTCACCAGGACCATTGAGGATAATGTGGTCTCATCTACAGCTCATCAGGACCATTGAGGATAATGTGGTCTCATCTAGAGCTCATCAGGACCATTGAGGATAATGTGGTCTCATCTAGAGCTCATCAGGACCATTGAGGATAATGTGGTCTCATCTAGAGCTCATCAGGACCATTGAGGATAATGTGGTCTCATTTACAGCTCACCAGGACCATTGAGGATAATGTGGTCTCATCTAGAGCTCATCAGGACCATTGAGGATAATGTGGTCTCATCTAGAGCTCATCAGGACCATTGAGGATAATGTGGTCTCATCTAGAGCTCATCAGGACCATTGAGGATAATGTGGTCTCATCTAGAGCTCATCAGGACCATTGAGGATAATTCGGTCTCATCTACAGCTTATCATGACCATTGAGGGTAAAACGGTCTATCATCTACAGCTCATCAGGACCATTGAGGATAATGTGGTCTCATCTAGAGCTCATCAGGACCATTGAGGATAATGTGGTCTCATCTAGAGCTCATCAGGACCATTGAGGATAATTCGGTCTCATCTAGAGCTCATCAGGACCATTGAGGATAATGTGGTCTCATCTAGAGCTCATCAGGACCATTGAGGATAATGTGGTCTCATCTAGAGCTCATCAGGATCATTGAGGGTAAAACGGTCTATCATCTACAGCTCATCAGGACCATTGAGGATAATGTGGTCTCATCTAGAGCTCATCAGGACCATTGAGGATAATGTGGTCTCATCTAGAGCTCATCAGGACCATTGAGGGTAAAACGGTCTATCATCTACAGCTTATCATGACCATTGAGGGTAAAATGGTTTATCATCTACAGCTCATCAGGACCATTGAGGGTAAAACGGTCTATCATCTACAGCTCATCAGGACCATTGAGGGTAAAACGGTTTATCATCTACAGCTCATCAGGACCATTGAGGGTAAAACGGTCTATCATCTACAGCTCATCAGGACCATTGAGGGTAAAACGGTCTATCATCTACAGCTCATCAGGACCATTGAGGGTAAAACGGTTTATCATCTACAGCTCATCAGGACCATTGAGGGTAAAACGGTCTATCATCTACAGCTCATCAGGACCATTGAGGGTAAAACGGTCTATCATCTACAGCTCATCAGGACCATTGAGGGTAAAACGGTCTATCATCTACAGCTCATCAGGACCATTGAGGGTAAAACGGTTTATCATCTACAGCTCATCAGGACCATTGAGGGTAAAACGGTCTATCATCTACAGCTCATCAGGACCATTGAGGGTAAAACGGTCTATCATCTACAGCTCATCATGACCATTGAGGGTAAAACGGTCTATCATCTACAGCTCATCAGGACCATTGAGGGTAAAACGGTCTATCATCTACAGCTCATCAGGACCATTGAGGGTAAAACGGTCTATCATCTACAGCTCATCAGGACCATTGAGGGTAAAACGGTTTATCATCTACAGCTCATCAGGACCATTGAGGGTAAAACGGTTTATCATCTACAGCTCATCAGGACCATTGAGGGTAAAACGGTTTATCATCTACAGCTCATCAGGACCATTGAGGGTAAAACGGTTTATCATCTACAGCTCATCAGGACCATTGAGGGTAAAACGGTCTATCATCTACAGCTCATCAGGACCATTGAGGGTAAAACGGTCTATCATCTACAGCTCATCAGGACCATTGAGGGTAAAACGGTTTATCATCTACAGCTCATCAGGACCATTGAGGGTAAAACGGTTTATCATCTACAGCTCATCAGGACCATTGAGGGTAAAACGGTTTATCATCTACAGCTCATCAGGACCATCAGGGATGACAGAGACTATCACCTACTGCTCACTAGTATTAGTGGGGATGGTAGTTCATTGCCTGCAACTAACTAAGACCAAGTCTACTTTCTCAATAATGTACCACAAAAACCTACATCACAACAAATATCACCCTGTAACACTGAATAATACAGCAGATTGTAGTCTAATAATTGTTCCTTCTCAGTGAGGACTACCACACCATCGGTTAGTTGTCAATATTAGTGTCACTGTTTGCACAGTAGCAAATCATAGATTTTCTGTACGTATTTGATCTGTTGCAGATTGTGGATTATCTGACAGTTTGTTTTGGTGCCAGGTGTATATAGCCTGTGGTGGATAGCTGTCCATTAATGTCTGCGATGTTTGTTTTGTTAAAAACTGTTTTAAAAAAACCTTCCAGGCCATTCTCTACATCTTTGAAATGTCTGGAATTTTCCCTTTATAAATTGATTATCTCACCAGTGTGCATATCGCTTACAACAGAATGGCAAAACTTAACAGTATAATTCCTTGAGACTCCATAATTTATTCATAATTTTTCTCTGGTCTTAAAGGTTCTTTGTCACTGGTTTTGTGAGGAAAGATACTGGTGATGATTAAGGTGATAACAGCTGTGATTTGTATCAGTATAAATGAACCTTGTCTGGTTAACCAATCTGACCCAACAACACTTCAAGTGTAGCACTACCTGCTTTTAGCTTGTAATATGTCAACATTACACAATGTAGTAAGCAGTTGATGATAGAGGTTATTCTCTGGTAAAAACACCCTGCACCCAACTGGGATGCTTTCATTCTTTTTTGTATGTACAGTGTTGTAAGGATACAAAAGAAAACTGTAAAGATAAGCTCGATTAAACAGTGAAAAGAAAAGCTTCCCAGAAATCCATGCAATGACATACTCTCTAGAAATCATCACAATGACATTCTCTGCAGAAATTCTGATGATGACATTCCCAGCAGAAAAACCCAAAATGACATATGCTCAGCAGAATATTCAGCAATGATATCCACTCCAGAAAACCCCACGAAGACAATGCAGCACAAATAAAAAAAATATTAGGTGAAATAAAAAAAACCTCTCCACCAGAACAACCTTGCAGCTCTTCAGATCAGCCTAGCAAAGATTTTGACAAGATGAAGAGATAGTGAGGTAGAAAGAGAGTCTCCGGGATGTGTAATATCTGCAGTGAATAGATAATAGTTGTTTGTTTTCTGAATGCAGTCACGTCCTTTTTACATAAAGAACACAAATGATTTAGAGGTTAAACAACACTTTAGTAATGTTTACACCAGGAAAACAGTGGCACTCACAGCCCTTAATCATTTGAGACAAGAACTTTGGTTGGTCTTGTGTATGATTCCATTATCAATTTGAAGTTTTCTACTCGGTTGCCATGTTGTTGTTAATCTAAAGGTACTAACTACCACGTATGTTGATGTTGCTTTGGGATTAAGGAATATCGAGCCAAGCAAGCCACTCCATATAAAATCCAGACACAATATGGTGCAAATGGCTTTCAATCATTTTGTAAATGTTTTGTAGAGAAATAATAGAATAAAATTTGCTGTTTTTTATACAAAAGGGTGTCCCTCTGCTGTGATCAGAGTAGACACATTTGTCAGATGATCTGTCTGCCTGTCGGTGATTTTAGATAAGTTTGGTGAGTTCCTGTCAATTCTGCATTGGCTGCACACACTGGGGCAGCCACGAACCTTCCACTGCCTGTTTAATGCTATAGGTCATCCCAATGCAGGTTCCATGATTTGGAAGCAAAATCAGATGGAACACCATGTAGCTGATAACCCCACTGTCTGGTAAAAAGTGTTATGGAATGATGGTGTATTGATTTGCCTTTGATGTAATGGTAAATAATGATGCTGGGAAAAGGTTAGGCAGCCTCCATCCTTCTTAATAGGATTATGTTGTTAAACAGCTCACCTGCCCAGACTGGTCATATCACATTCAATAGGCAGGTGTTACAAAATAGACAAAGACATATCGGTTTGCATTGGGACTTTTAATTTGTTTACAAAATTAATGCAAAGCATTGTTATTGATATACTCAGTCGTAAATCATCCATAAAGACATCCATATATATGTAATAATTGTATAGGTGGTGTGTATTTTCAGTGGTAATAAAATAACCAGGATCTTTGTTGTTTACCTCACTGACATTTGATAACAACCATCTCTACTTGTCAACAACCCATTCTTCCACCACAAACAATCGGCCCAGGAAATATGCCAGATTTTAATGTCTGTGCCTGCATTCCTGACACACTAGCTGTTTTGATCTAGTTAGAGAACAACGTAATCTAGTACAAGGGAGACAGAGAACAACGTAATCTAGTACAAGGGAGACAACTCTCATTAAAAAAAATAGGAATTTTGGCTTCCTTGATTTAATTTGGCTATCTATGCAAGACAGTTGTACAAAGAATAAGAAACAGTTCTGACATTACATAAAACACAGGCTTTTCAAAATATGAAAATAACATTGTGTGTTTGATATTACAGGTGTGCGTCTCGACAGAGTGCGCGGTGGGAGACAAAAATACAAGAGAAGCTTGGACAGTCTCAGTCAGCCACTCATACAACCCATACTGCCCATGGTGAAAAAAGCATGCTTTGAATGTAAGTAACCTGTAAATAAAATTATTGAGCTTTAAATAATTAGAAACTGAAGTAAACCCAATGATGTCACAGATTATTACAACTGTTTATCTATAATTATGTATAGTCATGTCAGTGATTATTTCCTTCTTCCTTTAAATAGACGGTGTTAAGTGTATTGATATATATCATTTATAATAACTGGGTAACATTCTTATTTTTTCATTACAGTCCAACATGAAAACAAGATTTTGACACAGTTGCTGAACATTGAATCACAGTTAGACAAATTATATGCCAACCCAGAACCAGAGCTTGTCAATGATGAGATGCGTTTTATAGCAGCCTTTTCTGATCTAGCTGACCGAGAATTGGTTATTACTATAAGCTGGGCCAAACAGGTGCCAGGTATGTAGTGTTAGGACTGTATGTACCATATAAAGACAACCAAGAAAGAAAATACCCACATACCAACAGAATCACGATTCATTCTCAAAATAAAGCTAGGACAAGATAGGAAAGATTTACACAGAGACTCCTGAAAAAATGCTAGGAGAATAATACCAGTTAAGCGTCTTCTGCGTCATCAACAACATCCACCATGTTAATCTTAGTCAATCCAAGTAAGTGATGTCACATCCTCAGATGTAACAAGGTAAACAACAATGGAACCATAAGATTTACATCTGAACATCAAACACGTCCAGCTTCATTTGCAAAAGGAAATAAAATATCTCTTTTTGATAACTGTTAAACTTCCCCTTAATCTTCATCGACCTGTATCTCGCAAAACCCTGTGTTTATCTGTCAGCTACATGATATCTTGCATGAAAATCAAAATATTGAGAAGAAGCCTTTCAATATTATATCAACTTCAACATGTAAACACTATAGGTTGAGGGACCAAATCTACTCAATACTCAGATTTTTAATGAGGTTCATGTTCAGAAGTTGTGCTTAGTTGAGTTTCTAATAAAAGATAAATAGAAAAACAACAGATAATATACTCAGAAATACGTTATATATACCTATATATAGGAGTTTACTGGTGCTAGTCATTATTTGGTAAAACTATGCGCTATTCACTTGTTTGGTGGTAAAATATTATCTTTCATAAATATTTTGCATACAAGAACATGCAGATAGACTTCAAAATGCCACTCACCTAAATGAACATTGTAATTTAACTCCATTACCATTTTGAAAACATGTTTTATTGTTTATTATGTTTTGGGATTTTTTGCTTTGTCACCAGTAAAAAAAAATATAATTAAGCTGTTTCCCTGTGATTGTAATAAGTAAATGCATGATGTGTTTTTGGATTTGGTTTTAATTATAACATAATTACTATGTATGTAGACACTAATTGTGTATAATTACACACAGGTTTCTGCAATTTGTCGCTGAGTGACCAGATGAACCTTCTACAGCACTCCTGGTTGGAGATACTCTGTCTGAATCTCGTGTTTAGATCCTGTCCTTACATTGGCTACATACGCTTTGCTGAAGATTTACAAATGACAGTGGATGAGTGTAAAAAATGCCAGTGTAGCCCAGAACTTGATAACCTCACCCGCAAACTCGCCAAAAAATTTACAAATATGGGAGTTACAAAGGAAGAGTATCTCCTTCTGAAAGCCATGACATTATGTAACATAGGTATGTACATATCAAAGGCTGTCATAGATCAAATTGGTTTTCAAATTACTAGGTCAAAAAGGCATCAGAATCATTTAAATTCCTTAAGTTTTAAGAAGGATATTGATCAGGGTAAGATATACTCATACTGTCTTGTCTGAGCTGTGATTAAGCAGTGCTGAAGATTGTAATTATCTGGGAGCAGGAGAGATAGATCTATTGACTTGTATCAATATTACATGACTGTGCACTGTATGGATTCTAACATGCAATATTTATTTGTAATGCAGGGAAACGCAGTAATGACTCATCTACTGCAGTCTTATGGTAGTTCTAAATCTGAATTTGATTGAGCTCTGCAGCCCTCAGTAAGCCTTCAGTTAGCTTATTAGCTGCGGAAGCATACTGAAAGAAAAACAAAAGATGATGATTAGTTATGGGTATTGGAAATAGTATGAGAAAATTTTATGAAAGATAATTTCAGGAAATATAGATGATTGTAATAAACAGAAGGCTTATCATGAATAGGTCAACCTTCCACTGGCAGAATCCTCAGAAAGTTATCTACAATACATCTCATAGAAATGAATTTTGAATTACTTTGGTTTATGAAGTCTTGTCCAAACTTTCAGTTTGTGTGGTATGGTAATTGGGTATCCTAAATCCCTGTCATGTTGAAATTCTGCTGTTCGCCATGGCATCTTCTCTTATATTCTCACAGAATCAATCTCAAGTTTTGAGGAAATAAACTCTCTTCTTAAATGGGGAAATAATTTCTAGATTGACACCAACTTTCCCAGTTGTTATTTTTTGTTTCATAATTAAAAGCAAAAGGTGAAATTTGCATACATTCAAATATTTGTGTATAAAATTACTTTTATCAACATATGCCATACTTCAGATAAATTTCTTATGAAGTTCAATATGAAATGATCATTAATTTACACAAAAAAATTCTTTATTAAGGGAATTTGGTTTCAAAAATAGATACTTATATTTTCAAATTAAGGGAACCTTTGAATTGCTTGTATCAGATGCCAGAGGGAATTTTTTTCACTAAGGATTAATTCTACATTATATTTGTAAGAATTGCTATTTACTACTACTATTTATTTATGTACCAATTTGTGAAATGTGTGGAAATTAATTGTTTTATGTTTGGTTCACAGATGTCGTGATAGAGAACAGCGAAGCTGTACGCAACCTTCAGGACAAACTCCAAGATGCCCTGATTGACTATGTGAAGTCTCGGTATGCTGGAAATCTGCGCCGCCTTGGCCATCTCTACCTTCTCCTGCCCCCACTAACACACATCAAACTGCTCGCCAAACAGTACTGGTTTGATGTGAAAAAGGATGGACGAGTGATGATGCACAAGCTTTTCTTAGAAATGTTGGAGGCAGATTCTTGATAAATCACCACAAAATTAGGAGGAAGAAAGATTTTGTCTGCGTGTGATATTTTTATTATGTGCTTGTGTGGACCTAGATCAGCACAAACTGTGGGAGCTCTCTTCGGCAAATATGGGTCAAAGACCCAGACGTCCGCTGTAGACTTATCACAGTTCCTCGTGTCTTAGGATGGTAGACATTATGTGTTAGAGATGTAGATATGTTTATGCAAAATATAGATCCGCAGTTTTTGAGAATGATGTTGATGGCTAGAAAAAGTATGTCTACATTAGAAGGATCATACTAGATTCCAAATGTATGCAGCCAAATTTTTTATAGTTGTCTCATTTTCAAAACTGAAGACAACCACTGCAAACATGAGGATGCTGTGTCATCATGTTCACAGTGTACTATGTGGACTTAGGAAAATAGTATATGTGTGACTTGTATGTGTGAATACATATATATATGTATATATATATAAATATAGAAAAAGATATATCTATGGGAAAATTTTACCATGGTAGAAAGTACTCAAACATTAATACCAGTTTGTTATATGCTGGAGGAATATCCTAGATACGTAGTGGGAATGTGTACGTCCTAGATACCACAGGACTATGTATTACTATGGAGACTGCATGCTGTCCAGTACAATCTTGCAGGCCCACCAAGTAGATCACCACCAGTGTGGGCTGATCAACTGATGGATGCTAACGTCCACTCACAGCGCTAGTACAACGGACCAATCGAGCACTACATGATATCAGGATTGTTAACGTCCACTCGCAGCGCTAGTACAACGGACCAATCAAGTACTGCATTGTATCATAAGAATGTCTTCCATCTTAACTTATTTACAAGCAATCTGATTGGTTAACACTACATTTGCATTTATATGATGTATTGTGACAGAACAATATATTCACTGTCTAAAATTCAAATACGCTGTATGTATTTCAATTAAGTCATCACATAAGGATCAAATATACAGATGTATTGTCCATGTCACTTCAGAACTTTGTAAATATATGTTCATACAATACATTCTTGTTACCCTTTGTATAAGTATCATGTGTGATTCAAGATTGGTTAGACTCTCTATACACATAATACATAATTCTAGGTCCTGAAGTCTGAGGTCTTGGTTTAAAAAAAATTGAAAAAATGTTAAAGGCTAAATGTGTATTTTGTGGCAAATAATGTGATTGAATTTAATTTTCATTAAAAATTGCTTAAGTACTTTAATTTAAGAAAAAAATATCTCAAAGAATAATGAAATATTTGAATTTATACAATAACCAAATTGCATTAAATTTTCATATTGGTGAAGATTATACTAATTAGAGAAATATATATGTTAAATGAGTTGATTGTGATGAATGAAGGAGATCTATAGATGTATTAAGTAGGACACATATCAGATTAGTGATGTCAGCAATAGACAGCTAGCTGTATCATAGCCTGTACAGTATATATAGGGGGAGGAGTGATAGTAGAGGCTGGGGTTAAGGTATAACACTGTGATAATTTAGTAGCTAGCCAGTTATATGTCTGTTTAAAATCGTACTCTATATTTCAGATTTTTTATTTACACAGTCAGGTCATATAGAAAATACACATTATATATATATATACCCAGGAAGAACACAGAGAGTAGGTCGTGTTATATCAGCGGTGTGGTACATTAACACTCAAAGGTTTCTACTGTACTCTCCATATCCTTGTTGTTTTAGTCTGTATTGTGTACTCAGATCTCATTGGTTAACATGTTTTGAATGGCAGCATCAAGAGAGGTGGGCGGAGCCTAGAGTAAATGAGCGCACTGATATGACTGTCATTCCATGAATTATTTCATTATCACGTCTGAAAGATGCATTTCCATGATCAATATCCTTTGTTATGGCCTCCAGGAATAAGAGGATGACATGTTACAAAATCTATTATGATTATAGCATGATATGTAAGAAAAAATGTATATGTTTAAAAAAAAAAAAAAAAAAGACACAAAAAGAGGGGGAAAAATATAAAAAAAAAATTAAAACAAAGTAATGCAGAAAATGTTTCAATAATTCTTAATTTTGAAACATCAGCTTGGAGAAATTCTGAGGGTAAATTGGATAAATTAGTGTGTCAGGTCAATGGATCAAGTTCAATGTGTGTAAAAAGATAAGGCACTTTGCTCAAATGTCTGTGTTTATTAGATGCCAAATATAAACAAATATGCATGCATGGATATGGTACTTATAAACATCTAATGTCTGTTTTACTTCTACTTAACATTGATGCGTTACGATGCCGTCCGAGCTTTGATAAATGTGAATTCAGCTACCTTTTGTTTTACATGTAAAGTTCAGACTTAGCAAATGAAGTCGTTGGTACCACCCATTTCTACCCTTCTAGTCAATATATGGACGGACTTTGTGAGATTCAGGGGGACATGGGATGCTCCTTGATGTACCCCTGTGTTTCACTTCTGCTCTAAAGTATCATACCAGATACCAGTCCAGATTTCTTGTTGTGCTTTGTCACATCTTTTCATCAAAACATATCTCAAATGTCTGACAATAGAGGTTACTGTCCTTTGTCACATTTGTTATTGTAGTGTAAAACACATCAGGTTCTGCTAATTATTGAAATATAGAACCTGGTCAAATGATCTTGTAAATAAGTAGTATTAGAAATATATGTAAATACTAGGAGAGCTTGAATTAGAGATTGCAAGAATGATAAAACAGTGTAGCAGTAGACTAATCATGTATGAGTGTGACAAGGCTGTAATGAGTGGTGTAAATAACTGTATGAATGGTGTCTTTCTCCATACATTATGCAGTCTTGTACACAATGAGCTCCGCCCACCTTTGCATGTCCATTGCTCATCCAGACCCTATATGTATTCCTCCCTGTCTGTGAGATGGCCATTATCATTCCTTGTGTAGCATGTACATATTGGTGGACCTGTATGCAGGTAGACACCACTATTATTGACGATGATGAGTTAGTCAGGTATTGTAGTTGTCTTTCACCATTTACAGGTATCAACTCATTCATCATTTGTTTTGTGCAACTATTTTCTGAACAGATTCTGCACAGTTATATCACAGATAATATGATATTACTATGTCTTATTATGCTAGTCAGAATGATCAACTGCATTTAAATCTTCGTCTAATCTACAACTTTCCCGACTGTTGACATAGAAGACAACTTTGACCTCCTTACGTAAAGACGGACTTGGTCTCGGCCCCATCATATGACCTGTAGGATAGAATTTTAAACATGATTCCATCGAATATGGTCAGTAATACAAGTTATGTTTGAGATTATTTATGGAAAGAGTGTTTGTAATTCATTTTTGATATAGTTAAAATTCATAAATACAACAAATGTTCCACCCTATCTTCAAAAGAAGCATCTGTTATACATATGTTAAATATGTATCCAGTGCATTTTCAGTTGCAGTACATTCTGTTGTTGTATTTAAAGAAATTCAGTTCAGGTACACAGCCTAGTTAGAAATATATTGGAAAGAAAACATGCAGTTATATATATATGTGCAAATCTGTTCAAAAACTTTTGTACATTATTTTTTACTTGTTAACTATGTTGAAGTGTGTTATTTTTAGACAGAAAAACAAAAAAGTTATAAAAAAAATATTAGAAAAAAAGATTGTTATTGAATATTTGTTATGAAATTGATGTGAATGTAATCACATTTAGGTACAAGTTTGTATATAGAGTTTGTGGTATATATCTATACAATCATATGTTCTGTAACCTAGAAATATGTGACTGATAACACTGATTGCTTTCACACAGGGAGTTCTCCTTTATGTGATTAACTTAAGAATTGTTACTAAATTTTTCACTTCTTGCTTGGAAATGAAAGTTTACAATAATTCCCATTTGATCACCAAGAAGGATGGTACAACCAAACCCATACAAAGAGTGCTAAATTAAATATTGTAGAATTCTGGTTTTGTTTTCATTTTCCTCAGTGTGTGTTGATTTTTTTTCTCCTAAGTCTTATTTCCTAACTTATTACATTGTGAACAATATTTTTTAACAAAGTGTAAGATATGTATCATATCAACAGAATACAGTTAAATGAGTTTCAAAACGTGTTACATAAGATGTCAAACAGATCATTTATTGCTTCAAGATTTGTTAAGGCCTGGAAAAAAGTTTTTTATTTTAAAAAAGATGTTTCAAATAATTGAAAAAATTTCAAATCATTAAAAGAAAAACATTATGCAAGAATGATGGAGGTGATTCGATGCCAAGTGTTAGGCAACTAGCAATGCTGAATGAGTTTTATTCTTTATTGTTGAAAACCAATTTAATCTGAAGCAGGTTTGTTAAGTTTGTTAGTGTGCAGTCGTACTGGAATGTACAACTTCCGAAATAAATTAATCTGTATGCAATATTTTTGAAGAATTTTCTTTATTTAATTGAAGAGTGTTGTTAAATTTATTTTTGTCTAATTTAAATATGAACAGATTTGAAAATGCTGGAAAGATAATTTTATTTGTAATTAACACAATTTTTTTCTCTCTCAAACAATCATTGTAACATTATGTTATTTATCATAGAGAAATGAATTATACACTAATGTGTCATATGTACTTTCTGGGCTAATGACATTGTATCATTTCTACCCTGGCTAGTTGCAGTGCTGTAGTAATTGTCTCCCTTAATTTATTGTGAGTTGTAATATTTTATCAAACTCATTTTTATTCACAGATTGATAATTTATTCAATAGTAATTTTAGCTCAATATTATTTCCACACAGCCGTCTTGTTGGTTGCAAATCATACTGTGTATATTACACAAGTCTTAAATTTCGTTCATCCTGCTTGTCCTGATTTTTATAACTATATTTTGAGTATATTTTGTTTCTGTAATAGTTCTTTTTGACAACAGGTTCTTTTGGTATTGCATTTAGTGTAGAAACAATGTGTTGACTACATTCCTTAGCCATTTTATAGCCTTGTGTGTCTTGCCAAGTCACCAACATTTGTATAAGCTATGTTATACTGCCAAAATAGGTCACATCATACAAAGTATCACATGGTTATCTCCCATAGGCAGCCCAAAGGCATCATTACATGTATTACATCCAAAATTGACCAAAAGTATGAGATTTTCCGAATGCTGATGCTAGAGGTATATAACTGTTATCTACAAATCATTTCTATGGTTCTTGCAACATATTGCCCCCCCCACCCTCCCCCCTCAAAAAAAGAAACGAAAAAAACCCCTTGAATTTACGCAAAATAAACATTTACAATCAGTCATGTTTTTTCCCCTGAAATGGAAATGTGACTTAAGATTCTATAATACACTATACTTTTATGACAGGTCAGTTTTACGTAGCTTGGAATCTGAAAGTTTTGTAGTTTCTATACATGTGATCCATTCAAAAGAATCTCTTACTTTCCGTGAACATGATACTGATAACCAAATTTTCCTTAAGGAATAACAATTATCCAATTCTTAGCTGAACCATGCCTTTAGGAATCGCACAGTAATCTAGTTTTTATCCTTTGTTGTAATTGCATGTTGATTTGGACACTTTGTGAGATATCAGTATTATATATGGGAGAAATCAGTGTTAATGTAAGTACATGCTTGGATTTTATGACACCAATCTTATCATACAATCTGCCATTTGATGATGCCATATTGGGGGTCAGTATTTATTTTCAATGGAAATTATGACACAATTCTGATAGCATTTTTACAGATAATTATAGATCATGTATACATCTGTAAAAGTGGAATTGTAATAGTTTTTTGTATATCGGTACCAAAGCTTTACGGGCAGAAATCCATTTAGTATAATCCAGCAATGCCAGGGTACCACACATCAACCTGAAGCCATCTTAAATCATGAAAAACAAAATAGCATTGTGTCATGTTTTACATCTGACCATCAAACTGTATAGAACAAGTCACTGTAGAGAAGAATTGGGAGGTCAGCACATAGTTTGAACTTTATGTAAATGAACTTGGCAGGGCAACTTTTTAAGTCTTTTTGAACATAGCTTGTATGGATATCAGCAAATATTGTTTGATAATAACTAGTTTAGTCATGGTTATCCAAATTCCAATACTAAAAATTGAATTTTTGACAGAGAAAATCTGATTATTTGTTATGTTTTAACTTTAAATGAATAAATATTTCCTTAGTTTTGCATTCAACATTTTTCAGAAGAAAGTAAAGCATTAACAATGAAGCTTTGAACTGCCCAGGAAGTTAGGTTTCTTGTGGTTTAGGAAAATTTGATTTGTAACTCCAAAATCAGTATTATGTTAAATACTAAAACTTTGACTTTTCGGAGGTATATAGTTCCAGTGCACTGGCTGTGTTGTCCTGTTGGTAAACATGCTACCAGTAGACAGTCATCCCAATGTCACTTGTATGTTCCCATAAAAAAAGCATCCTAAACTATTGACAATAATGTATTAACTTCATATATCATACAGCTAGAGTTGTGTTTTAACATTTTACTTTTTTCTTCTTTGAAGCCAACAACCAGAGAAGCAGTGCATGCTTATAAAGTTTTAGATTACAAAAACTTTTATTTTTTTGTAAATTATATATACTTTTCTATCCCTCAAATATTCATTTATATATATATCTATATACAAAAATGATCATGATAACTCATTTTTGACACCAAAAACTCAATTTTTTGGTTTATTCCGCCATATGTAACTTGTGTTTTTCACAAAAGACTTAAGTTTCACTATCAATGTGCATCAAGTCTTAATGTGAAATAAGACAGTTAACAGGATACAAAATTTAAATGTTACATATTTATCTGCCAGGATAATTTTACACCAGAATCATTATTTTTAGTTTATTCATTTGACACCAAAATCACTATTTATTTGCATTTTGCTGTAGATTCCATGTTACCATACCACCAACACACCATCATCATTGTCACCATTATCATCATTGTGAGTGGTGGGGGCCGCTGGGACTTTGCCAGCACCCTTACCCCTTCACTTGACCCCTTTATTTCTTTCCAATCTAGCATATCCACCGTATGGTTAACGAAGGCAGCATTACAGTGTGTTCTGTTTGAATGTAGAGATGCTCCCTGGCTGTCTCGGGGTCCCCACCACTGCTCAGCCCTGTAGTGATGTGTGATATGGTGAGACTAGTGTACATATCTAGTACCTATCTAGAGTTTCTGCAGTAACATTGCATGAGTTTGGAATCAGATTGTTGCATTATCAATATTGTGTGCATTTCTTTATCATCAATTTCCTCAGAAGAAGAAAATTATTTATCTAGTTTACTACGTATATTATGTCAAAAATTTTACTTTTCTTTTCCTGGATTTTGTTTGGTTTCACATGCATTTCATGTGAATCGTTCTGAAATAAAACAGCTTTCAAGTTCACACGAGTTTTGTTCTTTTGTGTATGATGCATTTATTGTACAACATTCATATCTAAGGTACTTGGGCAAAAAGCCACTCAACCAACAACCTTAACAAAGCCTCATGTTGGACAGTTTTAAGAGCATAAGCTTGCTAAAGTTTTACAAACAGACTCCACATAAAGCCAGCCAACCAACAACCTTAAAGCCTCATGTTGGACAGTTTTAAGAGCATAAGCTTGCTAAAGTTTTACAAACAGACTCCACATAAAGCCAGCCAACCAACAACCTTAAAGCCTCATGTTGGACAGTTTTAAGAGCATAAGCTTGCTAAAGTTTTACAAACAGACTCCACATAAAGCCAGCCAACCAACAACCTTAACAAAGCCTCATGTTGGACAGTTTTAAGAGCATAAGCTTGCTAAAGTTTTACAAACAGACTCCACATAAAGCCAGCCAACCAACAACCTTAAAGCCTCATGTTTGATGAATTCAAGAGCATAAGCTTGCATTAAGTTTTACAAGCAGACTCTACAGGGTCATCTATTGATAAAATTCAATTGAGGTGATGTAAATCCAGTCCATTTTCACCACCTAGTAGTGGCCATAATTGTCATTGCAGTAAATATTACCATCTTTCTGGACAAAATGTTGAAGGAAATCCTACTGGTATATCGTGTTTTAGGATCCAACGACACCTCACTGTTTTGAACGACATACTGTACACCTCACATGTTGAAACAAAAGGCCCTATGCACCACTTTCACCTGCCTGGCCTTGTTTGATTTTTTTTTTTATCCATACCAAAGGAAAAGAAATTCTAATGGTTTGAAACAAGCTCAGACAACCATTTAAACAAACCTGAGTTCTCTGACAGACATGGTATGAAATAAACATGCTTGGACCAGGCAAGATAAAATTTCAGTCCTTTCCTGCCAAGGGTGTTTCTGACCAAATTTCTGCAAAATCTGCGAGTTAAATAAATTGTGAAGAGATGGGCACAATGGTACAGCATGAGCTGACTTTTATCCTCAAAGCTAAAACTTAATTTCATATCTCATCAAAAACACGACCATCAACAAATAACACAACCATTTACTGGTATACAAAGTTGTGTCCCTCTTTTCTCAAAAGTGCTTCTGACCGAATTTGGATCAAAATCTGTTCAATAGTTCATGAATAGTAATATTTTTAAAGAAATTGTTAAAAGACAGACCCAACAGTAATGCATTAGCTCACCTTGGTCCTTCAACGCTAAAAATTACATTTCAAATCTCATCAAAATCATTACCATCAACAAATAACACATTCAGAAGATTTGGTATGTAAAATGATTTATTATGGTTGACAAAACAAATCTTCAAATAATACAGAACAGATGGAGTGTAGAAACTTAAGTAAACTTGAATGATGTAGCTAATCTCATGTGTTTACAACTGTAAATACTACCATCACTGGTATTTTTGTGCAAACGTACAGGAATTCATCTATGGGAATGTAAAGCATTATCGTAAACAAAATACCCTATCTCAATGTTAATGCATAATAAACATATAACAAGTGTGAATCATTTAGATATTCATAGAATTAGATCGAATAAGTATATAATTCTTATTTTAACAAACATGATTAGTTCATGGTAATTTTCAATATGCTAGTACATCGTTTGATCAATGTTGAAGAAAACAGAAGATTCTATAAAATCACACCATACCCATGTATCTGATAAAATGATAAGTTTGTTCTGGTTTTAGTTTCACAATTGAAGAGGTGGGTGAATTGAACACTATTTTTAGACATTCAGAACCTTCACCTCGGGAGTATATAAAACTTAAGTAACTTTATTTCTAAAGGCAAATTTTTTTTTTCTCCCACATCTTACAGTAATTTTATTTTCTATTACAAAGTTCATGTACCTCAAATTTAGTGTAAATACTGACAACCGTGTTTTTTTTAAAATAAGACAACCCATATCATAAAACTTAATGTACAAGGTTTTGTAACAAATTGCCACTGATCCAGGGTCACAGCAAACCAAGTCAGAGGTCATTACAAGGTTACACTAAAGTTCATCAGGTACAAGACAGGAGTATTTTAATCTTGTGCCATCATTATAAGTACCACCTCCTAATTCCTCCAAGTTATTCATCTGAAATGATAAAAAATATTTTATGCTTTCAAAATAAAAGTGATCATATTTTAACTATCCCTTGCACAAACTGAAGATATTTGTGCCACATATTTTCCAACACTTTCAGTTTTACATATAAGGAAACAAGCTTAAGTGTTGAAGGCTTAAGATTGTTAAAATAGCAAGCTCAATCAGAACTACCAACAAATATTAGGATTATCTTCTTAAATGCACATGGAAAAGGAGCCAAACAACAATTGCTGACAGTGAAACAGAGCTAAACACTATAGGGATGGAGAGGATGAAAACTATCATTATAATAAAACATTTCTTACCATATCAAAAGTTCAGAATTGTGAAACCTAATCTTAATGGGATATGAAATATTAGACAATTAATCCACATGCCATTAAAAACCTACAAAAGAAGGGGAACAACTCTTAAAATCTATCTGACTAAGGCTGGATAAGGAAATGATCACAGAAAAACTGTTCCCAGTAAGGCAAATAAGAATTGTTGATAGTTTTCCATAAAAAGGGGGACTAGTCTTGAAATTTGACAAAATCTCAAAGAGCATGACAAAAGATGGGTATTTATTACACTATCTTCAAAATTTTTTTTAAAAAACTTCAGTGCATGATCAGGTGCTTTTTACGTCCTTGGAATACTTGATGAAAGTTTGGAGACAAATCAAACAACACTAAATGTAAATACCTATTTTTGTCTAAATTTGAATAAATGCTGAATGATGCTATGCTACTGAACATTAGAATCATGTCCATACCCATGTTTGAAAAAAATAATTTTAAACTTTCTTGCCTAACAATTGACACAATATTAAAGACAACCTATTCATAACTGAAGTATGATCACATTTAATGGAAATACTGAAAAAGTGCTGTACATCTACAGAAAATAAAAGGGTCCCACTATTTGGTCTGTAAGATATAATATTCTTGATCAATATTTAGTCATATTAACATGTGGATGTCGGATAAATTAAAACTTACTGTGATCCTTGATCTGTGGTCCCTTATCAAGATGCTGCTATCACAGCATTCACAATCTTGGCAAGTTTGGCATCGTTGTCAACGTACCCTTCACCATTCTGTGGGATATTGATGTTTTATGTAATGGTAGTGAGATTGCAGAACATATTCTATAAACATCATTTCATATCTTTACAGGTAAATAACAGATTTTACCATATTTATGTGGTAGTGAAATTACGAAACTTTTGTATTAACCAAATCATTATTTTATATATTTGCAGGTAAATACAAAATCTTAACACATCTATATATATATATCTTAACATAGCATCAATTATCACTGGACTTGGGAAATTATCCATGGACTAGTAATATTCAAGGCAGAGGGCCTGAATGACTTAAATCAACTTCTAGACTTAGTAATATTTCAAATTTCTATTATTCTAATTAAATCCTGACCACCTTGACATAAGACAACACCTTGACTCATGATCATAATCTGAAAACATAGACAATGAAAAAACACTGATCCATATCTTCTTCTCAAAACCATGCAAGTATGAAACTAATATTCACAGACTAGAACTTCAGCAAATTCAACCTGAAGTTGTACAGGAATGGGAAGTTCTGACAATGCATATAGTTGCTTCAGTCAAGATATCAAAACATGATGATTAAAGCAGAGATATGTACCTTCTTGCTATGGATAATTTCATTGTTAACAGAAACTTCAAAGTTTCCTGTAATACCAGGTGTGGCATAGTGGCTCTGAAACATAACAGTAAATGCATTACTCTGTCGGTTTGAAAGAAAGAGAATATTTCTTCATAACCCTATATTTCATAAATTTTCAGACAATTATTATCTATAGCACCATTGAAATTTATAAAAAGTTTGAGAGATTCAAAAAGTGAAATTAATACTTAATTTCATCAATGATCAACTTCTGTTTACAAAACTTTTAGTTTTATTAAAATGTAAATGGTAATTCTACTTGTAGTAAAAAACTAAATCGGGAACTCTTGAAATTCTGACCTATTACATTTTATTGTAGTACTATACTGTATTTCTTTTATACAGTAGTTTAAACTTGCAAGTTGGGTCTTATACATTGTTTATCACATACTTCACAGATATTACTGTATATAAAATTAATTTACCCATTGGAGGTTGTCTCCAAATTCGTTCTTCAGCTGTCTCTTCAGCTTCTCGAACTGAAAAAAAGCATGATAAAATTGTATCCACACCATTTTTTTCAAACTTTTTCACAGATTATGTATCAAATATTTCTTCACTTAAAGTTGGTAATGTAGGTAAAAATATTCATAAGATTTGAAAAAATAAAAAAAAAAAACAAAAAAATCTTATTTTAATTCTATTTTTAGATGTTCCTGTGGATAGATCTGGGGCTAATGTTTCCCTGTAATAAACTGTAGCGCTATGGCTTTATCTAAGGAAATGCCAAGATTACACATTGTTTGTTCTTTAAATGTGTATGGCTAAAAACATCCATATTCTTCACATCAAAGTACATTCATAATGTACATGTACAACCCCATTTAATGCAAAAATGTATAGTGTAGAAACAATAGCTGTCTCATAAGAGAAATCAGGTGGAAATTGAGGGAGATCTTTAGACAAAATCAAAATGCTGAAGAAAACTAAAATAGTTGGATCAAAATGCTGTTTTCTAATTGTTTGTTTCATGTCATTGGAATAATGCCAAAAAAATTTCAAAAAGAAAACTGAAAATTGAGGGAGATCTCCAGAAAATTGAAAGTTTATTATGACTATACAATACATACTAGTATGTAATTTCATTCAAAGATGATTATGACTGATATAGATATTTTAGACTAAATGTCCTCATTTGTACCATCATTATGTAAATGACAGCAATTTCAAAGATTCATTGTATGATATACACCAAAGTATGATTATTAGGTCAAGAAGAAATGTACACAACAATTAATTTTGATCCTGTAGAATATTTTCAGCACAAAAATATAATTTTGACAAATTAGTCCCTACCTGACACACTGCCTTACCAAGGTGAACCAGTATCTTAAGTATTAAGTTGACTAGTTGTGCAGAAGACAAGACTTAGACAAGCTGCTTCTTCTTTGATGTAGGTCTAAAGTTAAAACATATGTCAGAGTGACCTACTTTTGAAATGCAACACTCTGTCTCACCAAGAGGATCATATATCCCAAATATTAAACATTAAATACCTGTGATAAGTTATGTAGATAGGGGCTGGACAAGGTATTGGAAGGATGGCAGGACGGAAACACACAACACAAAACTATAGTCCCCTCCAGACTGTATTGGTTTTAGAATAATGAACATATAGATGGGCTTATTAGCAGACACTGGCTTACTGCTGGATGTATACGATAATCAGACAGGTTACCAATGTACACATACTAAGCAACAAGGTGTTAGATATTCAAATCTATTAAGGTTAAGTATGGGTAGATTTTTATCACATGTAGTCTTCCAGCTGTAACCACAAAGGTAGTCAATCCTATCATCATGACAAGGGAGTGTTCAAATAGGGATGGATCTTAACCCACAAAAAATCTCAAAATAAATACACAGTACAAACTTATGGGAAAGGAGCAAACAGAGGTTAAAATGGACTGGATGTTGAAAAGTTGCATGGAGCATTACATTAATGTACAGCTGTTAAATACAAAATGTTTAGGCAAAACAGACATTTCCTCATTATCATCCACAACTGTTTTAGTATTGATTTATGCAGGTTGTATCTATATACAAGATAGATACTTCATAAATTATGATTACAGTGTAACATCTGTTGATTATATAATCTAGATCTGGAGTACTCATGGACTTATTTCAAGAGTTACTATTAATAAGATTGCATGTATACCAAATAAGGATAATTAATGTTTCACAATGATGGACTGACATATCAATATATACCTAATTAAAATCAACAACCATCTCCTACTGTTCTTATCAAACTTGTTTACATATTGAAACTGATAAATCCAACAGATTAGCTTGATATCTGTTACTGTTATTCTCAAGATATGAAAAGAAAAAACAACATGCAATTCTCAATGTAAATATAAACATCTTCAAAACTCCAAGTGACTACTCTGAATAACATCATCTTCTCTACTGCCAACAAAGAACAGGCCATCTCTCTACAACCATGAAAAGAAATGTCATCTCTGTACAGCCATGAAACGATGTGTTATTTCTTTGCTGCCATGGAATGATATTTCAGTTCTGTTTCCATGGAATGACACAACATTTCTCTATGACCATAGTGACATGTTGTTTCACCATAGCCATGAAAAGATGTGTCATTTCTCTACTGTCTTGGAATGACATGTCATTTCACTACTACCATGGTATGACATGTCATTTCTCTACTGCTCTTAGCAAACTGGAAGCTCTTTATATCCACAAATATTGATCTTAAATAAAAGGAATGCTGTGCCAATATAAACAGTAAAATGGCTAGCTTTCTAAATAGATTTGTACATTGAGATCAGAAGAGTTGGAATTCAATGATTACAAGACTTCATGCGATTCGTACTAAAGTAAAGCTGATTGATCGTCTAGATTTAAAATATCTATTTACAACTACAGATGAGATACTTACTTTGGAGACATATCCTCATGCGCCACTGAAATATGTAGAGACAGCATTAATCAATGAATATAATTAATGATAAGCAAAGGTTAGAAACAGATATGTAACCAATAAATAGTTTATCTGAAATAAACTGATGTGTAAAAATACCAAAAGCAGCAAGACATCTGATATACTTAAAAGATAAAGTAGGGGAGACAAACATGAGGGTTAAATCCCTCCTTCAAGGATGTTTATTAGGCCTTATTCTGTTTTTTTGTATATGTTAATACATTGTAATATGAAAATTAGTATTGACTCATCATGCTGATGAAAGCGCCATCAGCTTTTCCCATCAAAATCTGGATTTTTTTTCCCAAAGTTTCAGAAACCTGTCACATTAGGCTGATGGACAACAAGTTATTCTTCCATCTCGATAAAACAGGCAGCATTCCTTTTGGCCCGAAGAAGAAAAACAAACCCATGATTGCATGAGGAATACTTATTGATAAATTGCTACAGGCACAAAATTCAACATTCAAGTTCACTTTAATCTCTTGGTGTACTGATTTACAAATTTCTGCCTTATGAGCAAATTGCTTTCAGTATTATTTTAAAAAAATCAATGAACGTCTGAAAATCTTGAATATGTCTAAGGCAAAAGAAGATTTTGAAAATCCATTTGCCTACTATTGATCGCTAGTAGATTTTACACATTTTGCATAGATCTAGTAATGTGTTAGTGTAAGTCAGGCAGACTTCGATCTCACAACTATGTATGGTATGTCTTTTACCTGAATCACCTGAAATTCTATACTGTTACACCCAAAGTTTCAAGATACTGGAAAAGAAAGACTCAATAACATTACGAATTCGCAAACCTACCAATATTCCACGTGAATATTTACGACCATGCTGATCAGTCTTCGAGGCACAAATGACCCGTTAATATTGAGGAATTGGCCTACGCTCACTGTTAAACAACCTCTGAGAGAATACAGATCTTCCCGCACGTATATACGTCTGTAATCGACCCGACCTTCGTAGTTCCGACCTCTACTCGATCCAGCCCCGTTTTCTTAGTCGTTCCGGTCCCCTATTTTTCTCAATAAAACTTGTTTACACTCACTCGTATTGTCTTCATTGTTTACTTGAAGACGTAAAATTGCTATGATGACACTCTACGGTAGACTTTGTCCTACCCTGTGTTATTAGAGATGGGTGGCTTCTGGCGACTCGTTTCGAACACATATTGAATGAATGCTTATTGTTGGAATCTCGAGAAAATATGATAAAGGAATCATGATACATGTATTCCATTACTTAACAATTACAACAATAGAATGATAATTGATAAATAAGGATATTTCGATTAAGAATGTTCAGATGGCTTGAATTGGAGTTTAGATGGCATATAGCCAAGATACATCCACATCAAATGTTCAGTATTCGCTACGGATATTTTGTTAATATGTTACACATGTATATATTTTATTATTATAGAAATACTTACTTAATAACAAGCAGACGGTAATAGATATGTGTACATCTAAAATTTTAAACTCCCTGGTGAGTTTTTCTTAAACATACTTATCCATTTACAATCAAAATTACATTCAATTTCCTGTTGATGTTAGCATTTTAAGTACGTGGTGTATCTATTTATGTATAAGTACTCAATAAGTAAAGACTTTAAGTATGCCTTACCAGAGACGTATATATCACATATATACGTCTCTGGCCTTACTACTTAAAATACAATATCCTATAGCTGTTCTTACTCACTGATTATTGTAATTGCATAGTTGACATGATCTTGTGTAATATACACTGTGATTGGTGACACTGCAATTGTAGTAGGAATGGTTGAGTGACTTAGTACCTACCTACCCACATATTTATTCATTTATTTATTTATTCAGTGAGTGAGTGAGTGAGTGAGTGAGTGATGATGATGATGATGATGATGATGATGATGATGATGATGATGATGATGATGATGAAACTATGGCTTAACAATTAAGAAGATGTGGGTTTCCTTTTTTTTTTTTTTTTTTTTTTTTTGTTTTTGTTGGGTTTTTTTTATGACGAAAAGAAAATTATGATTAGCCCTTATGGTTGCTATTTTCTATTTTGTTTTTACCATGGATGAAAGATAACTATTTATGCATAAAATACAATTAATTAGATTACGCATTTAATCATTATTCATAAGACGCAAAGTATACCAATATTGACTATTACTATGTTGGTGACCTGTCGACTAGGGTGTCGGATCGACTTTGGGCCAGAACGACTAAGGACGGACTGGTTTGGGACCGGAACGAACTTGTAAGTAAAACGGTGTGTACGCAAATTGTACCCTCGCCATTGTTCCGGCTATGATTAAGCATGCTTATCCGTAATAAGCCTATCTTTCTACTTATGTCCTATTTAGTTTTCCATTGAAAAATAGCGCTGCTCTATCAGGCATCATTTAACAATGTTTTCAAGAGAAATGGTGACTAGTTTTGGTTATCAGATTGACGGATCATCTTTTCCTTGTATCACATAGGAAGTTGGCCGGTGTGTCCTGTCCATACAATATAGTGATGAATATGGCCTCTGTCAATTACATTAAATATAGCAATTACGCCGGAGGCTCAGTTTCAATTCTTGGTCGGGGCACTCACTAGAAATACGTACCGACGTCTTTTTATCCAAAACTATAATCTAGATACAGAAACCAATGAAAAAAAAAATCGCTGAACCATTAAATATCATATTCAGGACCAGCGACGGAAAATACACCATGACTAGAAAATGTCAAATGTGCAACATCAATTTTTAAAAGAAGAAAACTAAATACAAAAAAAGTTTAATTAATATTTGCACCAGGAAAACTCTTATAAAGTATAGTTCGAGATGAGAGTGTAAGAAATACGGAAAATAGCCATTTTTTTTATTGAACATCAACACAGGTCATGAAAATCATATACAACTAATTTACTTCGGAAATATTGGAACTTTGGACAGAACCACTGGGAAAATAAGAATATATAGACACGATATACTTGATGTGGTCATTTTGAGAGGAACTGGAAAATGTCACTCAATACTTACTTAGATGTACAACCACGGACGTGTATAATGTGTATATAAGTCCGTGGTACAACGTAACATATACATGTGACAATCAGCAATAGATTGTACATAACATAATAATTTTGTTACATAAAAAAGGCTATTTCTTATCTTTAAAATTAAAAAAAAAAAAAAAACATTGATATTCTGTGAAAATGAAAAAAATATTACAATAACAATTTTAACATAAAACATGATGTCAAAATTTATTTAATTTCATATGAAAATACTGAGCATTCTTTGATACCAAAAATAAGACGCGATTAAGTTTTGACATCAGAAACTCGAATATTTTAGATAGAAATATGTTGTTTCATATTCCCATATTTGGATTTATTTAAAAAGAATTCTCTATTGCTGGATATCATTGATTACCAAGATAAACAAAAAATAGCAAGCATTTTACGATATCAAAAATTGTATACAGGCAGAGACGAATATATCACAGGTGTTATATACGTCTCTGATACAGGTATAGCAAAAGAAAAACAAAAGAAAAAATACTGTCACCATATGGCCTATCTGCTGACAAAAACAACACAGATTACACTATTTCTTCTATGTAATATACTCAGCTTTTACACATGGTTGATGGGAAACAGATACACTAAGTTATCTACAAGATCTTGACGTTTTTCAGAAGTTGTGATTTAGCAGTTCACTAATTACAAGGGTATTATTTCAGGGGAGCGCCGCTTATAACGAAAGGTTAACATTTATTTTACAGATTCGTGACTACAAAACCAAAACATTTATGTATATTTGTATCTGTTACTTAGTACAATCACAGTTTTGTATAATCCATACCATTTATTCTAAAACAAGGCTTATAAAACATCCTTATCGGCAGACATATATATACAACACTTTATTGAAAAGGACTATAAGTCATAGTATATTGCGCGCGCAATTACTGCATTCGATTTAGCGCCATTTACGAGAGTGGTTTTGTTGACAATCACTGAAAGGGCGCTAATGTAGACAAGCAGGGGAGGGAAATCATTTTGCCGTAGAACATGGCAGAACTCACGATTTATAGCATAAACAGTACAAAAGAGCCACCAAGTCAACTTAGGTAAGTTTGCTTTACACAATGTTCTGTTGTTTTTTTCTTTGCAATTGCCATCTGCTGATCTGTGCCTGTGGTACATGAGAGCTACCCTGAAAAGGTTGCAGGCCAGATAGAAAATTCCTTGATTGCTACCGATAACACTGTGATAAAATTTTTGGGTAATGGTAATGAATTCGCTCAAAGCACCCTCCGAAGAATACATGCCGAGGGTAGTTGATGCTCTACAAAAACGTTCATGGCCTCGTTTCACCGGACCCTTCCTTCAACCGGCAACAAAGTCAGCATCAGCAAGGACTGGGGGCATGGCCATTGATACATCCAGCATCAAGAACGCAAATTTACCAAAATACATATTCTTCCCTTCTGTTGCTGTGCGAGAACATGGAACCTCCGCAGATACTTTCCAACATAACATTTACGTAAAGTCTATATCCGAGAGCCACTCTCCATTATACCGACAGTTAACGGGTTAAAATTGTGTCGGCAATAGCTATCATTGATACCATTACCTCCTGACATTGCCACAACATTCTCAGGAAGGTAAACTATGCATAAGAAGAAAATCCACTTATTCTTTATAATAAATTAATTATGTTTTGAGAGAGAAAAAAAATCATTGAAAAAATTGGACAGATATTAAACAATATGGAAGAGATATATTTACATATCACAGACCAGAAAGCAGGATTGGGACAACCACTGCACATTGGGATACCTACATGCCCATATAATTAAGGAGTCTGGTTGTATATTGTTACTAAAGTTACATGTACAGTGAGTAGCAGTTTATGTAACCTTTATAAATTGAGAACATTCCACAACATGAACACAGCTTCACTTGGGAATGAAACATTAAAATTTTGATATGCTTTATGATGTTTCAGGGTCAGTGATGGAGGGTTCTATCAGTATTGTTCAGTTCCATTGCCTGATCAAATGGTAGTCTTCTGTTTGGGAAAGTTCCCAGTTGGTGATCGAGATGTGTCCATAGAAGCTACATTTCACTACAAAGATGATATTTTGACACTAGGAACACTTGATGAAAAACATAGGTAACCAAATGATGAGAAGAAATGTAAAAGATTATATAGTTTAGAATCAAATGAAAACTGAACTATTTCAGTTTTCCTGGTGATTCCAATATTTATGATTAGAATTCAGTCTCTTGCCAGCTGGAGACTAGTCTTGGAATTCAATGATAGTGCCTCTTTTTTTTTAGCTTTAAAAGTTCTTGAATTGATGTATCTGTTGTTTAAAAGAATGCAAAACAAAATAACTTTCCTAAAGAAATATGCAGACCCTAAGGGTCACAAAGAAATTGAGATTAATTTGTTTTCTTTGTTGCAATTGTTACTTTCAATTTGAAACTACAAAAGAAATCATTATTCACAGCTCATCAACTGAATAAGAATATTTTGATCGCTGTCTGGCCCTAAGAAGTCCTGGAAAAATCTTTGAAATTGATGTCAGAAAATTCATGAAGTCTGAATTGCAGGTTTCAAACTCTGCATCAATAATGAATTACATTTATTGAATATCTGAATCCTCTCCAGCATTGCATAGTGAATGAGAGAAACATGCCTGATCAAATCAGAATAATAGTCCATTTGCTATTTATATTCAATGTATGTGTATACTACATTCTGAAGGTAATACTCAAGCATGAAAATTGAGATTGGACAATTACAATTTACATGCATGGATTCAACTTTGAGATACTCGTCTGTTTCCAGAGCACTGTGTTGGGAGAGAAGCACCTCTGGTATACCAGATAGCATGACATCCACTACAGAGAATGGCATGGCAAAGCTGGTACTGGAAATCCATGGTATATCAAAGTCCTCTACCAGTGATGAAGACACACACATAGCACCTGTTCTCAAGGCAAAAAAGAGTGAACAAGAAAAGTCAGAGAAAACACCACAGGTAAAACTTTTGATATAAAAGAGAAAAAAAATAACATAAGCTTCACTAGTTTGTTTATGGATTTTGTATCTCTCTCAGTTAATGTTGAATAATAATGTTATTGTACAAGTTTGATGAGAAAAGGAAATCATATTAACTGCGAATAATGCTATGGTTGACCGAGACAGGGGAGAAACTGTTCTTTTTTGACAAGTACCCATGTACACATTTTCAAACCTGTTACTCCTCAAATTTGGCCCATGTCTGGATACTTGTAGCAGCCCCAACAACACATCTATGGTATTAGCATATATATCAAGTGTGAAATGAAACAATGTTGTTCATTGACAAAACATAGGCAGACATCCCATGATCCATAAATACTGCCCGATCGCTTATAGCTTGTAATACAAGTTGGGGTCTCAAGTTGTCAGCTGTATATACTGCCCGATCGCTTATAGCTTGTAATACAAGTTGGGGTCTCAAGTTGTCAGCTGTATATACTGCCCGATCGCTTATATCTTGTAATACAAGTTGGGGTCTCAAGTTGTCAGCTGTATATACTGCCCGATCGCTTATATCTTGTAATACAAGTTGGGGTCTCAAGTTGTCAGCTGTATATACTGCCCGATCGCTTATATCTTGTAATACAAGTTGGGGTCTCAAGTTGTCAGCTGGCTTGCACACCAAGTTAAAGCAAGATGTGAAATAAATCACACTACAAATCTTATGTTATCAGTTGCTTACGATGGTTAATTACAGCCTGTGCCCATAGTGTTTAATGTAAATGTGAATAGTGACCACATGGAGCGATTATTGTAATGACAATGCCTTTTTCAGTCGCAATATGTGCAGTTTCACAATATGTTTGTACAATTCGAAATGTAAGTGAAATAATCTAGAAAATTTCGAACTATCACTAGACAGAAAATGATTGTTTTTATTGAAAAAATCATGTGTTTGAACTGATCAGAGGTTTACCGTATTTGCACTAAACTCTATTAGCTTGTGTTGTTGGCTCCTTGATAATTTGAAAAGAATATCATCACATCTATACTAGACGTTACCTGTTTTTTCTTTTGGTTATCATTGCTTATTTTTTCAGATCATTGACAAGAAGGTAGACCCCATTAAACCCACCAAACAAAAAAGGAGGTCAAGCACGGGTAAAGGAGAGAAGACACCAACGGGACCGTCATCAAAGAAACAACGTAAAAACACCCGAGTCCGAGGCTTAAAACTCAAGATGGAGAATGAATCGTCTTCAGAGGAGAAATCTGACAAAGAAAATATGAGCATGGAGGAAACACAGCTGTCCAAGTTGGTCTCATCAGAAAAGAAAATCATTCACAGCCAGCCTCCAAATCTCTCAAAAGTCTCTCTTTCTTTCTGTAAAGATGTAACAAGCAGAGGTAAAAATCAATTTATGGCTAGGACAGGTTTAGTTGATGGATGCTAAATTTAATAATCAGATTATTTGATTATAATATTTTAAGCATTTGTCATGTTAGTTATCTTGGGCATGGATTTTTGCTTTAAACAAATTGGTACCTATAATAATGTAACAGACCATATGATATAGAACTGTAGAATTGCTGTGAACTATACACCAACCCTGTCTGAGATATATCTGGAGATTGACTGTAGACATATATAAGTTATGCTTCAAAGGAACACAAATTAACAATCTGTGATGGTCCTTTTCTCATAGCTTCAGAGCAGTGAAGTTATCATTTTAGACCATCACAGAGAAATCCACACTTTACCCAGTAAAATTGAGGACACCATTGTTCTTTAGCTTGACTGGTTTTGTGGATGTATATACTGGGGGAAAGAAGCCATGATATATATATTGAAAAGGGGCAAAATAAAATAGAAATTATTTTGATTTGGAGGTTAACAATTTTCTGTATAAATATGTTAAATGTTTACAAATATAAAAACATTCTTAATTTGACTGCAGTCAAGTATCTAAATCATGCAATTTCCATCTTATTCGTGTAGTAAAGTATCAAGATCTGTTTTCTGGAAGACTTTTAGAAATACCAACATCCTTCTAGTTAATAATAGTCTAATTTGATGTTATTTCCTCCAGTTGGTCCCAACCCAAGCAGTCGATGGGGTCATAGTTTGTGTATGGTTCATGAGAAGAAAATGGCAGTACTTGTTGGAGGACAGGGAGAACGACAACAACTCAGCAAAGATTCTGTATGGACACTAGATCCAGGTATGTTTTACTGTATGGACACTAGATCCAGGTATTTTTTTACTGTATGGACACTAGATCCAGGTATGTTTTACAAGTATTGACTATAGTGTATATATACCATATTTATTCTAATAGACACCCCATCTCTAATAGATGTCCCACCCACCCATTTTCTCAGTAATTTTCCATAACTCCAGTCACAAAACTTACCTTTTATAAATGCCAAATATCCATGTATGTACATATGGATTTCTGAACAATAAAACAGTTAAATCCAAAATAGAACAAAATCCAAAAATCAAGAACACATGCCAGTTTACATTCCATAAAACAATGTTCGAGTTACTGCAATTTCAAACATGTACACCAAATTGTTAGTTTGTTAAACAATGTTTCAAATTGGTAGCCATGAAACGTGACTACCTACTCAGTCTGAAATTTTGTGTTCTATTAAACGCCCCCTCCTTGAAAAATTTCATGCCCCTGGGGTGTCTATTAGAATAAATACGGTAGTTGCTTTATTAGAACAAGTGTAATTAATATCTATGGGGTAAATACTTTTCTTAGGAATTTGATAAGATACCTCAAAGTTCTGTGTTTCTAAAATAGAGATCTAGAATCAAATTCATCTAAAAATGATATTGTAGAAATCTTTAAAAGTCATTTTATAAAGACAGCCATATCATGAATAGAGCTGATGTTTTTTACATGTTCTGTAGTGACAAGGAAGTGGAGATGCCCAGAGCTGAAGTCGGAGACCCAAAAGCCTGAGTACAGGATGGGCCACACAGCCTCTTACGATCCCATGGTCAATTGTATATATGTATATGGTGGGTCTAAGAACCTCAAATGGTTCCATGATGTACATATGTTGGACATTGACGAATGGAAATGGCAGCAACTTAAGGTTAGTCTTGCGCAACATTTACAAGAATGGGGTTGTGACTTGTGTATTGAACAAGGTATCAGGCAATTCAACTTTGAATAAATTTAACAAGTTTTAAAGAATTAGTCATAAGGGAAAATTAAATCTGTAAAGATAGAGGGCAGGAGACAAAATTAGAACAAAAATGAATGTTCAAACATTTGTGTATGAATACCTTTTTCTCCAACATCATATAATGAAATGGTATTAGAATATTTGGTACAATTCACCTCACTTGGGGTTTTTGTCAGCAACTTTGGTAAAGGGAGCAGAAATTGGGAAAATACTATCAGCATTTGTTTTCAATTATTTAACATTAGATAATAATTTCTATTCTTTAATCATTTTTTAATGTTTGAGAATAATTTAACTCTTTAATAAAAATAATTGTATTGAAACTCCGGAATTCAAAGTAGGGCAATCCTGTTTTGATTATTAGTAAGATACATTGGTTTTCCCATTTCGTAAACCAGTTAAAATTCTCTTCTTAGATTACCTTTTTATGCTTAGAATTTTAGCTATTTCAACAGAAATTATATTTTGATCTTTCTGTTTTTGAAGAATCTTATTCCAAAGTTGTTTGATCAGTCCATTACAACTGATCCTTGCCTAATGTCTTGTATAAAATATGAATCGAGGATTAACAATGCGTGAGCTATCTCTGTCCTTTTCCATGCTTAACCTGGAAATTTATTCATTTTTATTTGTCTGAATAATTACATGTATCAGGGTTCGAAATTAACTATATACAACTAGCAAAATTCCAGCTAATATCTGGTAATTGCTAGCTGGAAAATAATGAACTAGCAAAATTTTGCGAGTGGAAATGAACTATACCTAATCACTATTTTTGACGAAACATCTGCCACAAAATGCCTTTCTCCGTCTGCCTTTAAATGAGTAAATAGTTTACAAACGCTAAAGTGACATAGATCATCAATACATTCGGAATTCCTCCAGTTTTTCCCTTGATAGTTATGTGTAAACCGAATAAAAAGTTGTCTTGCAAAACTCTACGATTTCTGTCTGCTCATCATGTGAAACGCGACATATCAACTATGATAACAAACTTTATCAAAAGGAAAGCATCTGACAGTGCTTGCGATGACCAAGACAATAGTCAACAGCCACAGCCTGGCCCTTCTGAAAAAAAAATCGTCGAAATCGGAGAGCGTTTCTCCTGACACTGCTGATATAAAATCACCGCCACAACAACGTGCATATACGGCCACGTTAAAAACGGTACGGAAATGAGAAAAAGAATTGAATATTTTTCTAGGATACAACAAATCATTTAGTAACGATGTTGTTAATACAGTATGGCGCAATGACTGCCGAGAACACGGAAGATAGTTGTCTTGATAATAATTTATTGAAATGATCGTTAATGTGAACAATTTTTTAAATAATATAAATTTGGGTACAGTTACATTTATAAATGGATCTGATCATATGACAGTCAGATTAGATGTAGCTCATACATGAAAAAAAGAAAACTGATAAATTCTAAGTTATATAGATTTAAAATGTTGATACAGGTAGCAATCAGCCATTCTTATCCAATGTCTTGGATAACTTTTCCAATATCACTCAGTTCCTGAAAAACTCAATATAACAGTAAATAAAAGTCAAACCTTTTCACCAAAAAATTGCTAGTTTGTTCATAATTTTTGCTAGTGGAAATTTTAAAACAGTTAATTTCGACCCCTGATGTATTGACCCGTCTTCCACCTGATCTCCCCACTCTTCCATTCCACAGAAAGGTAGAAAGTGAAGTTGCTTATTTCTGTCACTATATTGTTTGTTTTAGAGATTATTTTTACTGCAGTAGCTTATCTCCCTTTCATCCTCTCCAGCACAAAATACATCTTGTAAACCTTTACAAGGTAATGACTGGAAATAATGTTTTAACTATTTCCCCTATGGGAAAATACAGTGTCGATTTTCAATTGGAAATGGATCTCTGTACCGGACCCTATAAATGCTTGGCAAAAACCCTGTCCCTTTATGGTAAACATACAAAAATGTTAAAGCTAGGCCTGGGAACATTCCAGTGGAATTCAGTGAGTTATAAAGTTGAATGTAAGCTAAACTGGATGGTTGGTAAGGTGTCAGTTTGTATGTAGCAGTCACAAATTTGAAATATCTTGGTTGAATCAGTGAAGCTGATAGTGTAGATAAGGGGAGGGAACTGTCAAACAAAAAATGTTATAACTAAGGCCAACCTCATTATGAAGTCCAACTATCTCTTTCATTGCCAGGTCTCTGGGAAAGCCCCAACACGAGCTTACCACAGTGCAACACTGTATCGTAATGAGCTATGGATATTTGGTGGGGTGTATCCCAGACCAGACCCCCAGCCAGATGGTTGTAGTAATGATGTACACATCTTCTCACCTGTCATGGAAAGTTGGTACACACCCATCATCAAGGGTGACAAGCCCATCGCCAGATCTGGGTATGTATGTTAAACCTACCTGTATTGATGCTTGTTTCAGATAAAGCGGGGAATTTTCTGTAATCAGTCAAAATCAATCTATTTTCTTATATCAGTGTAATTTTGTGAGTTTGGTACCAAAGTATTTATGTTCTCTGATAGATTTAAAAACTTCTGTTACCAATTGTTGTTTCGCTGGCTAACAATTGAATTTGTGTGAAACTTGAGCTTGATATGTATACATATTTGAAGCAGACATTTTAACACCCCCATCGTTTTATAGGGCATCCAGGGTGTTTCCCATGTCTGTCACATTCCCAATCAATGTTATGTCTCGGGAACATCTCAAGACCACATCTCAAGAGATTTGGTTCATAATCACCCCCATAGTATCCTGAGATCATGTTTTACACTTTATTATATAAAGGTGATGATTGGTCAAAGGTCAATTTGAACAACATATGCAAATTCATCACACACTGGTATATGTATACATGGGAGTCTTATGACCTATAATTTGATGATGCTGTGTTTTCAGTCACTCTGCCACTCTTATGAAGGATCAGCTGGTGGTGTTTGGAGGCTGGGATGCACCTTATGTCTACAATGACTTACATATACTTGACCTGAGTATGTATAATACATTAGATGACTTTGTGTGGTATATTACTACTGTATAGCTATAGACATATTGTAGAAGAGTTTAGTATAAATAGGCTGTATTAGAGTTAAGTTCTGTGTATGGTATATCTACATGTAAATAGACTGTATTAGAATTAAGTTCTGTGTAGTTTATACTGCTGTTCTGTGTATATTTACTTGTTTGTTATCCCTGCGAAACTCACCTACTAGGTATATCAACTTAGGCTCTCTGGCCAAGGGTTTTTCTTGGTTACAAATTTAACGAGTGTTTAAAGGAATTTGACAAAACTTTAACGAGTGTTTAAAGGATTTTGACAAAACTTTAACGAGTGTTTAAAGGATTTTGACAAAACTTTAACGAGTGTTTAAAGGATTTTGACAAAACTTTAATGAGCACTTATCAGGCTAGTGTTTTTGGAGAAGTTTCATTTTTTAAATATTTGTTCTGTTACCATGAAAACAGAATTATAAAAGGATGAAAATTTTCCACACTGCACCTCAGAAACCATTTAGCTGTTCCCATGGAAACTTGCTTCTGTCTAGTGCCCTAATTGTACTTTTTGAAGGATTTCATTTTTTATATTTTCTCTGTTTCCATGGTACCATATAGTCATACTGAATTAACTGTTACAGGCTTCTCTGAGTTCCACATCAAAATCTGGGGTTTTTAAACATTTAACATTTACTTGAAAAAACCAAGAAAATCTACATCAAACATAGATGTCTGGATATTCACACCAACAGCTGGGTGCAGGGACATTGTGGCATGTTTTGGCTCTTTGTCTACATGTAGTGGACATAAAACAGTGTAAAATGTGACATTATTAACATTAAGAATACGTATCAAATTAAGTTAATCAAATTTTTCATCTTATACTGAGAGTAATCCATTACAACCTATTCCTTGATCGTTAAAATTTAAAAAGGTTCCCAGCACATGTTACATTTAAAGCCTTTGTTTTATTTCATATGGTGTATTTTTGTTTTTTCAGGTATGGTTGAGTGGTCTCAGCCCAAAGTATCTGGCACGCCACCTAATCCACGCAGGTATGTTGGTAATTTGTTATACTTTATTAAGTTTTGAAGCTTAGGCATTCAATCATAGTACTGCTAACCTATCAAATGTATTAAATTGAAAACCATGAAACATTTTGCTGAGAGGAAGCTTTTTAATACATAACTCATTGTTGTCACTGCAAACTAACACTAACAGTTCCGTGATTTCTGGGACTCGGGTCTTTTGAGTCGTGGACTCCTGTTTTTCCTAGCTAACACCCATATTTTTGGAACCCCAAGGATTAATCTAGACAAATTATACTACTGGAATCATCATGAAACAGAAGTATCAATCTACCTTCAATAATGTCTAATTTTATTCATGTAATCTCCGTATATGGCATCTATTTTTACCCTATTCCTCTTGAAATCTGTACAAAAGAGCTGTCGAAAGTTTCTCTATTCCCCCATTTTCCTCACTGGGTTAACACAAAATTCTAGATTATCCCATGAACCTACTATATCTCTGGTAATAGAACTCACTAAAATTTGGATAATGGTGGTCTTGACTATTGAAAATCTTACAAGAATAACTTATATATTCTACACAAGTTAGGATTTCATGGATGAAAATAATGATGCAACATTTAATTAGAATTGAGAAAAATGTCATCTATAAGATGAAAAGTCTTCACATTTTCATACACATGTTAACAATTGTGAAATATCTTTGATTTTAAAAAATCATTATAAATAGACTTAATTTGTAAAATGAACAGATGTGGTCATTCTTGAATGCAGGTTGTTCTGAGACATATTGGAAAATCAAGACCATGGTCTTTAAGCGTTAATCTTCTGTAGTCATATCATTAATTCTTCAGTCCAAGGTGTTAAATTTGATTATTGTATTTTCAGTTGGCATGCTTCCTGTGCACTGACTGGAAACCGAATCCTCATTCATGGTGGTTACGATGGCAACTTGGCTCTAGATGACACACATGTCTTCTGTCTAGGTAAGTTGCAGATGATAAACAACCAGAAATCATCATTATTTTAGGAAATATACGAAATGCTTTATATATTAATATTGTAAAGTTTTAATTTCTCGGTGTCCGGTACATAGTAAAGCATAAGCACTTTTATATCAACTCTTCAGGTGCTTTACATTAGGTTCAATCTCAGTAGGCCTACAATATGACATCAATAATGATTGTTTATGTTGATATAGAAATGGAGGTAGTTATGTGTTTATAATAGTCTACTCAGTTTTGGGTTTATTGTCTTTTTGAAATGTTTCTCTTTCACCTTCCTTTCGATGGATTTTCAGAAAATAGTTCATGAAATAGAAATATCTTTTTTTTTTAAAATTCGCAAATTTCTAAATGTTCACCTAATCTTATTTTTCTGTATTCTAGTACAGTAATGTGCTGTTTGTGTATTGAACCCAGGCTCTTTTGTGTGATTTTTATCTTGTATGCTTCTTACAAATGAGGCCAGTTTCTTATAGCTACGCCTGTAATCTCCATACGTTTGGGAAATGGATGAAAGATGAAAAATCTAAGAACGTTTATATTCTGAGATGTGATGGTCCGTTTCTCATAGCTTCAGAGCTGTGAAGTTATGGTTTTAGACCCTCACAGAGAAATCCATGCCCTCCACCGGTGAGGATGTGGAGTACATTGCTTCACCCAGGAAAACTGAGGACACGGTTGTTCTTAATAGCTTTACTGGTTTTGCGGATGTATACAAATGTTAAAAAACCCAACCCTCTGTGATATCTGTATGTTTACTTCAATTATAAGTTTTCACCTTTGATCCTGTCTTTTGTAGATTCCCTGACTTGGATGCGTATCCGTCTCGATCCCAAACCAATTGCACGTGCTGGCCACCAGGCAGTGTGCCTGCCTTACTCCCATGACAACGACGACCAGGACGAAGTGTTAGTGTTTGGAGGTGGTGACAATGATGGCGCCTTCTACAGAGATCTGATCAGTGTCGGTGTAGCTTTCAACCCAGAGCTGGAAATAGTTAATACAGAAGATGATGCTCCTCCAGTCTTGTCCTGTATAGATGGTAATGTGGCATGTTAAATGGCCACCAGAATTAGGCAAACTAATCAGGGATATTATTCAAAAGAAATCTAATGGATCTAATTTGTTCATTATTTAATTATATTTGAGACTTTAAGAATGTATTTTGTTAAATTTGAATGTTCTAGATCATCCTCATTGCTGAGGAGAAATAGACTATCTTTGTTAGTAAGATTTGTTGGTAGCATGCGTTTAAGATCATTACTGAAATATCTAAACATGCATGTTGTTTCGTTTAGTTTGTTAGATGTTGTCCTCTGAATAAAGTGATTTGGTGAAAGAAATTGTCTGTTAAAGGATTTAAAATTGTATTTCTGATGAAATCATTTAAAGATTAGTTATTGGGTTTTCCATGAATCATGTCATATTTTCGTTTTAAGTGTAAGTAATTGTTTTATTGATTTTGTCACAATCTGATTTGCAGTATCTATAAATGCATATAATAAAAATATTGTATATAAAGCTGAGTTTTAGAATTGTATTACTATATTGACAGTGTTGTTTGTATCACTAGGTGATTTATGGTATAGAATGACTCACAATTAATTATGCATGTAATGTCAGGTGATTGTCAGTAACCTGACTACAATGTAGTGGCAACATTGTCATATAGTTGAAGGGTTATATTTAATAAAAGTATTTCAAAATGTTTGTCTGTTTAGATCATGTTTTTTAGTTAAATAAAGAATTAAACTGTAGTTAATTGTCTCATGGATAACAGGACATGATGGTGTGTAACACATGCTACCTTGGTCATTCCCAGTTATTGTGAGATTATAGTATGCCGTGACACTTGCTACCTTGGTCATTCCCAGTTATTGAGAGATTATAGTATGCTGTGACACATGCTACCTTGGTCATTCCCTGTTATTACCATCTTGAGATTTTGGTATGCCTACCTTATATTGCATTTGACATTATTTCTATACCCACACCATTTTGTTAGGGATCAGGTATTGTTACTTTGGTCCTCCCATTGTTTCCTGTCTGATGTTGTTTATGTATCACAATGAAGTTCTATACCTAATTACATTGTCATCAGTCAAGGTTAAAGGTCACATGTATCGAAACAAAATCATTTATGTACCATGGCAGGATCTTTCAAATGTAAAAAATAAATTGTGCTCATGGTTAGAAAAACTGCTATGGTACATACACTGAAATGTCTTAACATAATGGCTGACGGCTGGCCATCCTGGATTTGATAACTGAATTAGTCTTAACATCAACGAGGATAACTTGGGAAATATAAGTTTGTCCAAAACTTTTATTCAGTAGAACATGCTTGTATTCCTTTTTCTGAGAACGGGGTTAAGTCTTGCTCGATTGTAATTGAAGTTCAAGGTCGAAATATATGCACATGTATGCCATGTCAAAATCACGTGATTCATAAAGTACAGCTGCATTGGTGCTCGAATACAAACATTTCATAAAGAGTACAAAAACGAGCATTGTAATACAAGTATTCTGTGTTGTCCTCCATGAATCTAGGAAATACTGTATTGCAACACTGGTATCGAACACGGAGGATGAGAAATCAGTGTAGTCCTTCAGACCGATACATACAACATTGACTTATTGCCACAAATAATTAAAAGTATGGAGTAATCCATGACGTTGCAAAGATCGAGTCGGACCAAAGAAGGCAACAAAACGTATCGTGAGGAAAAATCGTCTTGTCTGTAAATACAGGTTAAAACGAGTTGGAGATTCAGTTCACAGATCAAACCGATATTCTTGCTTCGTTGAGAGCCTCACCATGGATATTGGGAATATTGGGGTAACCCGATAGACGGAGCTACTGATACTGGGAACACGATTTTACTTCAAATATTTAACACGATCGTATGGAATGGACGCTATTGACCATATGTTACAAGTCGTTGGGGGGTATCAGATAAAACCATAAATCGTGTCAGGTGCTATTGGAGAATCTTCGGTTTCCAAACGTTAAAGTGTCAACGTGCACGTCTCTGGAACTTGAAAACAGAATAGGAGATTTTTGTTTTAAATAAGAACAGGGAGTGTTAAGCTTAAAAATTCAAACAAGATATATTTTCGAAGAAAGGATGAATTCAGCCGATAGTTTTCTGGTATACAAATGCTCCAAGGGTATACCTTAATGTGTTTTAAAATTATGAATATTGCTAGTATATATATATGGAACAAGATTGGCATGTTTCATGCGCCTTTCTCACATTGAAAAGGCTTCATCAGAACGACGCTAATAAAAATACGACAGTTTTACCTTTGTAAGCTAATACTTTTTCCATTATTGAATCTCCAATATTTCCAGGACTGATGGATGGAAAGTTATATTACCTATACAAACATTTGTATTAATGATTCCTGGAAATAGCGCAGTACAGTTAGCGCCCGTGATTGTATTACTGTTAACGACCCCTGCTACCAGTACCCGAGGGACGCCACAAGGTTATCACCTGTCCGATATTGGCCGGCTTATGGCTGACGTAGTGATGTTTTATTGGCCGGAGCGTGCGAGAAATAATTTTAAATAATTTGATTTCTATTTTATGATGGAATAAAAATGTTGAATTTACATCAATCTATTTAATGTCCTCGAAAAGCATGTATACAGTGATTAATTTTGCCGGATAACACTTCATATCTTCTCTGTTAATTCATGTCCTGGTATTACACACATTCTCTGTTAATTCGTGTCCTGGTATAACACACATTCTATGTTAATTCGTGTCCTAGTATTACACACATTCTCTGTTAATTCGTGTCATGGTATTACACACATTTTCTGGTAATTCATGTTCTGGTATTACACACATTCTCTGTTAACTCGTGTCCTGGTATTACACACATTCTCTGTTAACTCGTGTCCTGGTATTACACACATTCTCTGTTAATTCGTGTCCTGGTATTACACACATTCTCTGTTAACTCGTGTCCTGGTATTACACACATTCTCTGTTAATTCGTGTCCTGGTATTACAAACATTCTCTGTTAATTCGTGTCCTGGTATTACACACATTCATTTTCTGGTAATTCATGTCCTGGTATTACACACATTCTCTGTTAATTCGTGTCCTGGTATTACACACATTCTCTGTTAACTCGTGTCCTGGTATTACAAACATTCTCTGTTAATTCGTGTCCTTGTATTACATACATTCTCTGTTAACTCGTGTCTTGGTATTACACACATTCTCTATTAATTCGTGTCCTGGTATTACAAACATTCTCTGTTAATTCGTGTCCTGGTATTACACGCATTTTCTGGTAATTCATGTTCTGGTATTACACACATTCTCTGTTAATTCGTGTCCTGGTATTACACACATTCTCTGTTAACTCGTGTCCTGGTATTACAAACATTCTCTGTTAATTCGTGTCCTTGTATTACATACATTCTCTGTTAACTCGTGTCTTGGTATTACACACATTCTCTGTTAATTCGTGTCCTGGTATTACATATATTCTCTGTTAACTCGTGTCCTGGTATTACAAACATTCTCTGTTAACTCATGTCCTGGTATTACACACGTTCTCTGTTAATTCGTGTCCTGGTATTACACACATTCTCTGTTAATTCGTGTCCTGGTATTACACACATTCTCTGTTAATTCGTGTCCTGGTATTACACACATTCTCTGTTAACTCATGTCCTGGTATTACACACATTCTCTGTTAATTCGTGTCCTGGTATTACATATATTCTCTGTTAACTCGTGTCCTGGTATTACACACATTCTCTGTTAATTCGTGTCCTGGTATTACACACATTCTCTGTTAACTCGTGTCCTGTTATTACACACATTTTCTGGTAATTCGTGTCCTGGTATTACACACATTCTCTGTTAACTCATGTCCTGGTATTACACACATTCTCTGTTAATTCGTGTCCTGGTATTACACACATTCTCTGTTAATTCGTGTCCTGGTATTACACACATTCTCTGTTAATTCGTGTCCTTGTATTACACACATTCTCTGTTAACTCGTGTCCTGTATTACACGCATTTTCTGGTAATTCATGTCATGGTATTACATACATTCTCTGTTAACTCATGTCCTGGTATTACAAACATTCTCTGTTAACTCATGTCCTTGTATTACACACATTCTCTGTTAATTCGTGTCCTGGTATTACACACGTTCTCTGTTAACTCGTGTCCTGGTATTACAAACATTCTCTGTTAACTCATGTCCTGGTATTACACACATTCTCTGTTAATTCGTGTCCTTGTATTACACACATTCTCTGTTAATTCGTGTCCTGGTATTACACACATTCTCTGTTAATTCGTGTCCTGGTATTACACACATTCTCTGTATTACACACATTCTCTGTTAATTCGTGTCCTGGTATTACATATATTCTCTGTTAACTCGTGTCCTGGTATTACACACATTCTCTGTTAATTCGTGTCCTGGTATTACACACATTCTCTGTCAACTCGTGTCCTGTTATTACACACATTTTCTGGTAATTCGTGTCCTGGTATTACACACATTCTCTGTTAATTCATGTCCTGGTATTACACACATTCTCTGTTAATTCGTGTCCTGGTATTACAAACATTCTCTGATAACTCATGTCCTTGAATTTCAGTTTTCTCAGTAATTGCTCGAACGAACAAGAATAGCAAAACATTCCTTTGTAAGAAAAAAAAAACAAAAACAAAACAAACACACCATACAAAATGTATAAAACCCAACAAATTTTGATGATAAAATTTAACTTTTCACAAATGTGCACAAGTTTCATTTATATATATATATTGTGTTAATCACACCTGCTTTCCTGGAGTCACTTAAGAGGGTAAACTTCATCTTAACTTGTCTCAAATTCTAGTAACTGCTATTGATATTCTGATTGTTGTTGTTTTTAACTTTCCTCCTGCATTGGGAACAATATGTTATTTTTTCCTGTTGAGTCGCCAGAGCTGTAATTACTCCAGTCCATAGGGTGGATTAAACTGCAGTTCAAATAATTTCCAAGTTATAAGTTTACTGAGCTATCTTGGCAAATGAATCTATGAATCTTCGATTGCTGAAACGGAGTGAATCGTTCTGGGATTACTACAATTGATGCCATTTTTGTTTTTTTATTCTGTT